AATCGAAACTTGTGAAGATGATGAAGAAACTAACTTTGGTGTTGATGTAACTGATGTTTTTGGAGATGATGATAAAGGATTAATTGAATCAAAATTAATACAACAATGAATTTCAAATTCTCGTTTTAATACATCTATTGCATTTTGTTTTTCTTCATTGGAAGTCTCAAACTTTTTTAGTTTCGGATGTAAAACAGTTGCTAAACGATGTTCGTTTGTAATCATCCAAGCAGTTTTGATTCGATGAGCTACAAAAGAAAAATAAAAGAGAAAAAAAATATGAAAATGAATTTCGATTGTTATTAGTCACTCCTAAACCTTAAATAAAAGCAATGCAACTTTATATGAATCTGTATCTACCTAAAAATACTTTGAGTTCGATAAGACTTGTATGATCATCTTCAAGGATATCGCATTTCTTCAATAAATATTGTCTTAATGGAATTACAAGATATAAACTTGGTTTTTTATCTTCACTCAAAGATTTAATTACTTCTTGAAATGAATCAAGAAAAGCACAAACATCATCTAATAACTGTTTGTCGATTTCTTTAAAATCATCAATTAATTTAATGTTGATCAAGACAGGTGGTAATTCATCAAATAATTCACGAAACACATCTAACATAAATAGAGCGCCATTAAAGCGCGTATCACTGTACGATTGCAATTTCTTTGATAAACTTTGTTGTTTATGTGAACGACGTACAGATGAAACAATATTTTTTATTGTAGAAAATAAATACTGAATACCATCACAATTAACATGGTCAATAACAGTCTTAGTAACATGAATTTGTTGAGATTCAAAAGCATGTTTTAATTGACGATTTAAATAATGATCTGCATAACCAATACGTTTGCAGTTTTCACGAAATGCACTCAACATCTTTGCTTCATTATCAGTAACAACGTATTTTGAACTATCTAAATACAATTGATAATCATTTAATTTTTCTTCGACAAATGCACGAAGATGTTGAGCTGAATGTGATTCAACATCATATGGATAGCATCCAAGAATAAAGTATAAAGAACGAAATTCACGATCTACATGATGAATTGAAATACCACAATAACTTAAACCTAGGCGATCAAATAAATAAATGCGGAAACTTCGGATTTAAATCCGAGAGTTACGTGTACTTCAAAAAGTGAATTAGACAGATAAGTCATCCTAGAATGTCTTGACATCAAAATTACACTGGGGAAACTTTCCTATAAACTGTTGTTTTCTATT